TGGGAGAAAAGGTGAGAAGAAACCAGGTAAAAGCTGGTTTGCGCCAGGTGTGGTGGTACAAGCCTGTAATCCCAGCACTCAGGAGGCTAAGGCAGGAGGATCATTTTGAGATCAAGATCAGCCTGGGCTACAAAGTGAGTTCAAGGTCAGCCTGGGCTACAAAGTGAGTTCAAGGTCAGCCTGGGCTACAAAGTGAGTTCAAGGTCAGCCTGAACTGCACAGTGAGACCCTGTCTCAAAAAGGGGGAGGGGGAAAAAAAAAAAGCTGGTTTGCTAGCTATTTAGTAATTGTGGTATCTTATGAATATAGTATACTGTTGCCAAGGTACAATGGTTATGCTGTACTCCAACAAACAGAACATTTAATAATAAATAATTCTTGTCAATATGGTATGTTTGCAGGTTATGGTTACTCCCCCTTTCCCAGTTAATTTCTATTAAGTTTTCTCCTAATATAAGCACACGCATTCATTCCATCAATAGTGACACCTATATAAAACAATACTACACATTACCTACCCGTTGTCCAGAAGAAAAAGAATGAGAACAACTAACTTCACCAACTAAGTGAAGAAGAATGTAGGTCAGGTAGTATGCCTGTTTAGACAAATGAGTAAAATTAGTATCTATGAATTAGTTGGCACAGGTATCATTTCAATTTACCAACCAGGAAAGTAGTCCAGGAAAGATAAAGGGTTTAAGGAAGGAAAAGTCAGGCATTTAAACCAGGCTTTCTGATCTTGCACTCAAGTAGATTCATTTTACCACCTCATGACTGCCCTAGTACAGGGGTAGAAAAATATAGTCCCAGTATTAAAACTACCAAGAATCATCCTTTTACCTAAATTCCAACTCTCACATTTAATGAATTATTTTACAACAGCAACGAATAAAGATACCTGCTTTTCAAGTTCTAAGTGAAGACTGTCATCAATAGTGCCATCTGGCTGCTCGGCTCTTTTCTTCAAGACCATTTTTTTTAACAAATCAGAAGGTTTCATTTGTACAAGGTAGTGATGGAGCACTGATATCTGTTAAAACACAGAGGGGGCACTGAGCAAGACTCAGCAACACAAGCGCCCCTTCTCAGGCCACTTCCCCCCATGTCCCCGTCCACTCTGCCTTCTCTAATTGTCCCTCTCAGCATTCTTTACCATCCAGTGAGAGCCACTTTCCTCTGAAAGCCCTCACCTGCATTAAAAAGCGGTTTTGGGTTAGAGATTCAGTGCCTGTACCCTGGGATATAAATGGTTAAAATACCAAATGATATTATGATACAGTCCATAAGTAGTGGTTTCTTTGTGAAATTACTTGAAAGCAAAGCTGAATTTCTCCACAGATAGAAGTCACTGAATTCTGAAAAACAGCACTTAATAAGAAGCTGAAAAAAAAAAAAAAATCACATCTAGGATGAGTAACCTGAGGGCTAATTTATGCAACTTCTGTTTATTATTTTTCTATTTCTAACTCACCCATGGGTACAAACAGAAAAATAATAAACAAGTTGCATAGCACGTAGTATCACTTCTGGTGGCAGATATATCATAGAAAGGAGTGAGAGCTGCTTGTTCATCAGCCTGGTTGCTCAGGAGTGGCGCTCACAGAGTGGAATCCAATCCACTTTACTAAGGTTTGGGAGCCGGCTCTCCCCATCACTCTGTGCCCCCGGGCATCCTGTGCACACCTCTACTGCTAGTCTCACCATACTAACCACTTGACAGTTGGTTTACTGTCTCAACCACTACTTCTGTCTTCTGTGAGTCTAATTCACCTTTTTACCTCAGGACCCGACAGAGTTCCTTGCACTGAAAAGCAGCTCAAACAAGGACATGGGAGCACCCAGATCAGGTTCTATGGTGAGTTTTCAGGTCCAAATAAGGGGACTCCACCAGTGCTATCAGTGTAAAATGCCTCCCTCAGAATGGGGTCTCCACGAGACATGTCCATATACACTCATGCATCCCTGAGGTACCTACCACATGCACTGGACGGAAACTGTATTTCAGTTCTGTGATCTAAAAACCCACCTAATATTAAAACACGCACAAGACGCAATTAACATGCAATGGCTTCGCAATTTTTTTTGGTGGTATGGTGGATTGAACCTAGGGGCACTCTTAACACTGAACTACATACCTAGCTCTTTTTTATTTTTTCTTTTGAGACAAAGTCTTTCTAAGTTAGCCAGGTGGCTAAGTTGCAATCCTCCTTCAGCCTTTCAAATACTATAATTCTACAATGTCTAATCTTGTGATAATATTGCTAACTTTGATAAGTTGAACAAATTCAATAAATAATGTCACAGTCTTATCATCATACATTATGACTTCTCCAGGTTTATTTATACATTAACTCAGATGGTCCACAACAACTGTATATGGTAGAGGGTATAATATCATCTCTACTATATGTCACAAATGAAGAGATTAAATCTTTAAAAAAAAAAAATTTTTTTTAAAAAAGAAGAAACTAAAAAAGAAGAAACTAGATCTTGTTAGTAAGCGCTAAAGACTACATGAGCAGTAACTCCTGAGAGATGAAATCTAACTCCTAGACTTTTGACTTAAGATCCATCAATTTTCCCTATACCTCACTACCTCTCCTGTTTATTTATTAGAAAGTACTTATACCTGAAGATTAGTGGCATTAGGGACATCTTCATGTTTCTCATCCAGAAGCTTTGAAATAATCACTAGGCTGAGGCACTGTCTCAATTGCCTAGAAACAGAATTTGAAAGTATTTAGAAAAAACTGTAATCAATACCACTTGAGAAGCAAATGAATGAGCCAAAAGCAGTTCCAGTTCTAACTGGAAATACAGGCAATGTTTTCAGAGGAGGCTGCATAAGAATATATAAACTGCTATAGAAGAGTAAAATCTTTCCTTTCTTTCTTGGTTGTGCTGGGGATCAAACCCAGAGATTCACACATGCTAAGCAAGTGCTCTGCCACTGAGCTATATTCCCAGCCCTTTCACAAAAAACTCTCAAGAGCCAGGGATGGTAATCCCAGGATCCAAGAGGCAGGCAGATCACACGTTCAGCACCAACCTGGGCTACCAAGCAAGTTCAAAGACGGCCTGGACTGTATGTGCAGATCCTGCCGAATTTTTTTTTAAGAGAAAGAGTCACATTTGTCCAGGCTAGCCTTAGAAGTTGTAATCCTTCTGCCTCAGCCTTCCAAGTAGTTTAGGATTACAGGCAGGCATCACACAGGGAATTTAGAACAGTAAATCTTTGAAAATGTTAATTAATTCTTTTTTTTGGTCTGAGACGACAGTTCAGGCTGGCTTGGAACTCACTTTGTGGCACAGGCTGGCTTCAAAAATGCAGCAATTCTGCCTTAGCCTCCTGCATGCGCAGCTAATTCATTCATTTTTATGGCTACTGTCATCTATATCGTTCTCAGATAAATTAAAAATAGAAATCAAGAATATTACAGAATGACCTGACTTACAAATTAGAATCAGGCTATCAACGCCCTTTTCCTTCAGCTGAATATAAAAAGCTCTAGTATTCAAAGAATGATGAATGGAAATAAAAGACTTAAAACACCTAAAACTGCTTAATGTTTAATTCTCACTTTTCAATACCTTCCACGTGCTGTCCAGTTAGGGACGAGCTGTACCAACCACAAACGGTTGTGAGGGTGACTGGAGAGGTCGTTTATGCCCAGACAGAGTTTAGGCATCTGAAAGAAATGAAGAACAACACTTAGGACTTCTTTCCAAACTGGCCAGGATATCCAGTCTATATCCTGTCCTGCCCTATTAGGAGCATTAGCGGAGTATTCATTTACTCAAACTGCAGAGTCTAGAACATGTCCAATATACACGATAGATTCTGTTCTATCTTAAGTCACCTTTTTTTTTCCCCCCGGTACCAGGAATCGAACTCACGACCTCACGCTTGCCAGGCAGGCACTGTGCTGCTGAGCTAAATCTCCAGCCCCTATCTTAAGTCATCTTGTACCATATTTAAACGTTCATCAGAATTTCACAAATACCAGCTTGCAAATGTGTACAATGAGAGCTTCACAAGATCATATACATTTCTGACTTGGAATTTCTTGCACTTAGGGATCCAATTCCAGTGTTTTATTTCTTTCTTTTTGGGTTTTTGAGAGAGGTTCTCACTGTAGACCAGGTTGGCCTCAGACTCGGGGTGATCGTCTGCCTCAGCAGGTATGTGCCAACCATGCTCAGCACAGCTGGATCTCCGGCACTTACAGCAATGCATGGTGCACGGCAAATCTCCAACATCACAGTGCTGCTGACTGAAGAGCCGCGGTTTTAGGAAAGACTGTCACTGGTTTAACAGTTCCCACACAGCTCTTTCCTCACCTCCTTGTTCACCAGAGAGCTTAACCGAGAGTAGAGTGACTCTAGTTCTGTATGCAACTAGGAGATGGAATTGTGTTGTACAAAACAACAGAACTGAGGGCTTGAGCAACATTTATTACCTTTGTATTCCAGTCTCTGATGTTTTTCATCAGGTTTATCAGAAGGCTTTGAAAGTCTACTAGAGGAATCTGTTTCAGCTGTTTTTCCAAACTCATCTTAAACAGCATTAAGATCAGCAATATTATTTCATGGTCTTGGTAACCTTCTGGATGTATTGATGTACACAAGCCTAGGAACTTTTTGACAGAAATGCACAGACAAAGCAAGTTAAGAAGATACACTTTACTTTAAGAATTTTAATTATAAAGTCTTTCTGACAAAAGATACAAGTATTAGATGCCTGGAAAAGGCCAGAAATACTCATGCTAATAGTTGAATTAAGTGGTATTTTTGTCTGTTTTCCATTTTTAGGATTTTAATGGTTCACTATCACTGACAGCCACTAAAAAAATTTTCATGCTCTTTTTCTTTTTTGAGGCAGGGTCTTGGTACAAGCCTTGAACTTGCTATGTAACCCAGGCTGCTTCTGCTTGAAGTGGTAACCCTCCTGCCTTGGCCTCTCAAATGCTGGAATTACACGTGTACACCACACATGGCACTTTGTCATTACTTCTTTTTTTTTTTTTCCCCCGGTACTGGGAATCGAACGCACGACCTCGCGCTTGCCAGGCAGGCGCTGTGCCGCTGAGCTAAATCCCCAGCCCTGTTATTAATTCTTGATCATTAAGTTATATTGCAAATAATACTTTGTCCTTCATATATGATTAATTCTAAAACATTACTGGTTTCAAAACTACTTTATTGACAAAACTCTAATCTGAAGTTCCCCTTTCACTCCTACTATTAAAAATAAAAACAGCAGACTATGGTGGCTTTTCTCACGACAGCCCACCCTGTGTCCCTCCAGCGTATGTGTTCTCTTGCTTTGTCCTCTTTTACTTAGCCCAGGCTCGCTCTGCAGAGCCAGTTTCTTACTCACTCTTCACTTTTACTTTTTCAAATAAACTTTGTAATACAAAACAAAACAGCCTTTAACACAAAGATTACAGCTAAGAACTTCCACCTGGTAAGAAATTAAAATCACCTGGTAGAAAACTAGTTTTTAAAACCATTAACAACAAACATAAAGCTGTTCTGTACCAAAGATAAATGAAGTTTTACCCTACCTTAACCACATTTAAAATATTGCTCTCAGGAAGGGTTGAAAAAACTGGTTTAGAAGGTGAATCTTCACTTCCTCTCCCCCGCAGTGTCATCTGTGTTTCAGAACTGTTGAGAAGTAAATAAAGAATTGAAATTAGGCACAACACAATTACTCACTTTAAGAAATAATGAATAACTATTTCTGAGGGGGATCTGTGGAGGGAGTGAGGAGGCTGCTAGAGATGGGACCCAGCGCCTCAAAGCACTGGGCTCTTCCACTGAGCTGCAGCTCAAGCCTTCACCTTTTTTTTTTTTTAAATGAAAGCTATATTGTTCAGGCTGGCCTTGAAATTTAAATGTTCCCGCCTCAGCTTCTTGACTAGCTGGGATTAGGGGACTATATCACCATGTCCAGCTTAATAAATACTTTTTAAAAACTTTTATTGAGGAATAATTTACGTATGATAAAAGGAATGTACCCATTTTAAATACTGATAAACATCCACATTAATGTATCAATTACTCAAATCATGAAACAGTATTTCCATCATCTCCTGAAGTTCTTTTAAGCCAATCTGCTACTACCCTAGAGGCAGACACTCCTCTGCCTTCTGCCTCTGTGTACTCCTTTTCCTTTGCAGCAGCTCCTCCTTGTAAGATACTGTTTGTTCTCAGTGTTCTTCAGGTTAGAAAGCTGCACAGAAAGTGGCTGATGACAGCTCCTGATAGTTAAAAGACCACGGCAACATAAGCAATTCTAAGTAACCCAACTGTAGTTCAGGTTGTCAGTAAAGCTTCATGGAAGAAAAGATGCATGGACTTAGCTTTCAAAAAAAAAGTTATAAATTAAAAGAAAATTTATAGGGACGAAAGAAACCAAAACATATCGAGGCACCCGCCTGCTTCCCCACACTAACTACAGTGCGTACCTTCCTTGTTTACCAAGCTGCCTGTCTAACAACTGTTCAGGCTTATGACCTAGGTGCAGTGTTCAGATTAGAACCCATTTTTTTCTGGGTTTAGTTCTGTATACCTTCTGTTGTTTACAGAGCCTCAATGTCTTTTTTTGGTACAGTACATCTTATCTATACAATACTTAAGTTTTATGTTGTTACACATTACAGTACTGTAAAAGTTATGCAAATAAAAGCAAAGCCATCAAGTTGGAGTTGCTCTGACCATTTCTTTGTTCTGAATATTGGAATATACATATTACATACAATTCCTCATTTATAGGCCAATCACTGACCTAAGTGGCAGGAACGTACCGAGGTTGGTAAATGAGGAATCTCTGTATAAAACACAATTTGGCTTTTGACCAGCACCCAATTTCTGAGCAACAGGGGTGTTATTCACATAACACTCCTCCAGCCTTACTGAGTCTGTGCTGAGTGACTCCTGAAGGATGGAATCTAGCTGTAGAGTGAATGACTTGCAATTGGAAGGCAGTCCCACCTGGAGGGGCCAGAGATCAAGTTAAGCACCACACCAATGCTTTCATCAGTCACCCTTGTGTGATGGAGCCTCCAGGAGGGCACGAGCACTTGGACGGCTTCTGGACTAGGGAACACACGAGGAGGAGGAGGGTGGGACCTGAGAGGATGCCGAAGCTGCTGGGCATGCCCATCTCCAAACTTTGTCCTAAGCTCTTTCCCATCTGGCTGTTCCTTGTGCTATGTCCTTTACAGTGAACTGGTAACTATAAATAATGTGCTTTCTCAAGTTCTGTGAACATTCTAAGAAATTATTAAACCTTAGGGACGGTGGGACCTCCTAACTTATGCTTGTGGTCACAAGGAAGGGAGCTCCGCGTCTGTGCCTGGCACAGGACATGGGGCAGTCTGGTGAGATGCAACCTTCACCCGTGGGGCCTGCACTAACCCTGTAGTCTCAGACTCTAATCAAGTCATAGGACATCTAGTTGGGGTCAACACAGAGAACTAGAGAACTGTAACATGTGGAAAGCCTACAGTTTGGTGTCAGAAATATGAGTGTAGAGAAAATACTTTTTAAAAATCATTTACCATACCCTCTCTGGTCCAGTTTTTTTTAGACAGGGTCTTGCTATGTGGCCTAGGCTGACTTTGAACTCAGCAATCTTCCTGCCTCAGCCTTTTCAGTGCTGAGATTGCAGGTGTACACCACCATACCTGGCCTTCTTGTCCATTTTAAAAAAAGGCAGCATACTATTCTGCACGGTACTTTTTTCACTTAGCAATATGCCTTGAAGAAACTCTGTGGCCCACCTGGATGACACAGTGAGTTGAAGGCCAGCCTGAACTGCACAGTGAGACCCTGATTCAAAACAACAACAACAACAAAAGCTGCTTAGCTGGGTATGGTGGCCTACACCTATATCCCAGCACTTCGGAGGCTGAGGCAAGAGGACTGTCACCAGTCCAAGGTCAACCTAGAAAGACTACATAGTGAGTTTAATACTAGCCTGAACTGCAAACTGTAGTCCTTGTCTTAAAAAAACAAAAAGCTGCTTAGTAGTCCTGAGGTAGGACAGAAGACAAGAAGATGACTAAAAATCGTACTTTAAAAACTGCAACCTTTAAAAAAAACAAAAAAAACCCCGCAACCTGCAGGACTTAGTCGAAGTCACTCAAGACAGCCCTATGCCAACATTTCTTGGCTCAATTTACATTCCCTCCCTATCAGACCTATATAGGCTATAAGTTGGCTCAATTTAGAAAGTAAACAGCAGGCTGAGTGAATCTAGAGAATGTTTAAATTAACTATGAAAAACCAAACAAAAAGCCTACCCATGTGTGTGGAAGGTGCTGGTGCCTTCTGAGGGAAAAGGGTGAAGAAGAGCGCCACTGTTCCCAGTTCCAGAGTGTAATGCGCCTCTGCTTTCTGAGCGCCCACATTCCTCATGAGTCCTGCAATCCCTATCTCCACCTGCTTTACCTGTGCCTCCTTCTGATGCATCTTGGAAATTCTTTCCATGACAGGAGCCAGCGAACATGCTTGGAGCGGGGGTTAAGTCTTGGAAACTCTCCGACAGCCTGGTGGCCGTCCTTCCAGGCTGCCTAACTCTGCACAAGTTACTTAACCTGTTCAGGGTTTGGTTTACTCTAAGATGAGAACTACCACTAGCACGTGTGGTTATTATGAAGTGAGGTACTGCACCAAGCCTCAAAAGGGTGTGCCCCACAGAGCTAGCACTACGTAAGAGTAAGCAGTTGTGACGTGGGGGAACAGCACACAGACCTATTTGGTTAGAACAGAGGCTGAGAACAAAATAGAAAATAGGTCAGAATGAAATGGTAAAGTCTTAACTATGGGGTACAAAGGGGAGAGAGGTTATTCCAAACAAGTAAAAGGATACTGTGAAGGTAAAAAGATTTTGCTAGGCTAGGCATGGAAAGATCTGAATTAGACAATACTGGGAATGAAAAAAGAAGAAAAAGCTATGTGATCACAGAATACAAATGTACAATAGTGTTCTTGTAGACCAACAATCAACAATGAGTCCATGAAGAAAGAAATTAGGAAACCAAACCCATCATAGTAGTTTTAAAAAGTTAAATACTTAGGAATCAACCTTACCAAAAAGTGAAAGATCTTTTTTTTTTGGTCCTTTTTTTTGAGACAGGGTCTCACTATGTAGTTGAGGCTGGCCCTGAACTTACTATGTAACCCAGGTTTACATCAAACTCATGGTGATTCTCCCTCCTTAGCCTGCCAAATCTTGGGATTACAGGCAGGTGTCACCATGCTCAGCTAGCCTACACTCTTGGCTCCTCTGTCAAAGATCAGATGCCTGAAAGTGCTTGGGGTTGTTTCCAGAGCTACTTCTTTTTTTTGAGACAGGGTCTCAAAATGTAATCCAGGCTGGTCTTGAACTCACTGTGGACCCCAGGCTGGCCTTGCACTTGTGACAGTCCACCTGCCTCAGCCTCCCAAGTACTAGGATTACAGATGTGCGCATCACACCTGACCTCTGTATCCTCTATTCTGTTCCTCTGATCTGCATGTCTGTCTCTTCATGCCACTACCATGCTGTTTTTGTCTCTGCAGCTTTGTAATGGAACTTGACATCAGGGATGTATGATGCTGAATTTGAGGCCAGCCTGGGCTACATAAGTGAGTTAAAGGTCAGCCTGCACTGCATGGCGAGACCCTGTCTCAAAAGACCAAACAAACAAAAGCATAGCCTAGAGGAAAGACAGCCTCTTTAACAAATGTTGCTGGGACAACTGGTTATCTACATGCAGGATGTATTTATACCCACCTCTCTCACCCTGTTCTAAAATCAAGTAAAAATAGATCAAAGACCTAGATATTAAAACAGAAACACTAAATCTGCTGGAAGATAAAATAGGTTAAAAATTGTGAAGACATAGGTACAGGCAAGCATTTTCCAAACAGAACCCCAAACGCACAAGAAATACCAAGAATCAACAAATGGGTTCATATCCAATTAAAGTTTCCACACAGCAAAGGAAACCAGCAGAGTGAAGAGACAACCTACAGATGGGAAAAAAATTCTGCCAGCTGTTCCTGGCCCAGAAGATTAACATAGTGGTACCTTGGTTCACGAACTTAATTTGTTCTACAATTTTGGAAAAGATGGGCATGTTTGTGTGGGAAAGATGGCCGTGGTTGTGTTTGCCACCTGATGCAGAGTTTGCAATCAAAAGCAAAATTGTGCCAAGCACTTCGTTTGTGAATCAAACTGTCTGCCAAGAAAAGTGCTCCTAAAATGCTGGGCGTGGAGGTGCACACCTGTAATCCCAGTACTTGGGAGGCTGAGGCAGGAAGATCATTGTGAGTTTGAGACCAGCCTGGGCTACAAAGTAAGCTCAAGGCCAGCCTGAACTGCATAGCGAGACTCTGTCTTAAAACACCACCCCGCCGCCAAAAAAAGTGCCCCTGAATTGAGGTACCACTGTATCTAGAAGATACAAAGAACTGGAAAAAAAAAAAAATCAGACCCCCCAAAATAAAAGACCCAATTCAAAAAATGAGAGACTGAAATGAAGAGACACTTCTCAGAAGAAGAATGGCCATCTTCATAAACTCACTAACAAACTCTGGCAGGGCTATAGGGAAAGAAAGGAACCCTTAAAGTTTTGGTAGGCGTCCAAAGGAAATTGGTATGAATATCCTTCAAAAAATTACAAATAGAAATTTCCTTTGTTCCAACTGTACCTTCTGGATACCTTCACAAAAGAGCAGACATCACACTACAGTGACACATGCACACCCAAGCTTACAGTGGCAGGATCACAACAGCTGAACCTTGGAAATGGCCCGTATGTCCATCAGCAGATGGGTGGGTACAGAAAATGTGCTATATATACACAATGGAGTATTGAGTCATAAAGGAGAAACTCGAGGTCTTTGCAGGAAAATAGATGCATCTTGAGACTATAATGCTAACTGAAATAAATCTGGTAAGAAGGGTAAACACTGTATCGTAGTTTCTCTTCTTTGAGGGGCTTTTTTTTCCTTTGGTCCTTTTTTTTACTATTTTCTTTTTTGGTACCAGAAATTGAACTCAGGGCCTCACGCTTGCTAGGCAGGTGCTGGGCCACTGAGCTACATCCCCGGCCCTTCTCTTCTCTGAGAAACCCAAAGGGGACAGGAAACAGGGAGGCAGACCTGTTACAGATGGGAAGGGGGCCTGGAGATGGAGGGAGAGAGGGGTGAGGAAGAAGAAATAAAATGGATTAAGATGTGGTATGTGTATGTGCCAACTCCACAGAGTGAATGCACCTATTTTGTATTGCAAATATGTACTAATTAAAAAAGCTATGATGTAGGCAGAGGAACACAGGATGTGAGAACTGATGAGACAACAGAATCAAACAGGTTAGGATGTATTTTAGGAGTCAAATTTTAAGTCTGTGTTATCTAGCAGAGTAATGGTCGGGAACGAACTGCACCACTACCCCTTAATATACTTATGTGAATATGTAATAATTTATAAATGTCTTTACTCCAAATTTATTGGTATGGAGATTTTGCTATGAGTACAAAAATACACTGCAGCAACATCAACGTGCTGTGTGTCAGTCGTGGTCAGAAGGGAGCTGTGAGGTCTCAGCAGTCCCCGGATTCACGCCTGCGCTGTCCAGACAGGCACCGCAACACACTGCACTTGCTCCTTCACCACCCACCGCTGCCCCTTGGGGCCACCCTCACTCTCCACTGCGCAGCCCCTGCACATGACTAAGGGGCTCTTTCTTCCACTGGCCAAGTGACCAACACAGACAATTTTATTCTGCTAAGTATTATGTCTATTTATTATATATTAACGTAATCATGATATGCCTTTATTTCCCCTTTACCTCCACTACTGTACATGCTCACTAGTGAAGAAAAACTCAAAATCTGCTATACACAACACACAAAATCATTTGTGAATTCATTAAAGTAGTTGGTATTTTATGAAGTAACTTTAAAAATTCACAGGTATTTTAAGAGTGTGCTCATAATATGTAGGGAAAATGTTTGGGGCCTTTGAATGAGCTGTGAAGGCATTTTTTTCTACTTAGAGCTGATGGAACATGGGTTCTATCTAACAATCTGTTATCCAATATATTTTCAGGTACAATTTACATCTGAGTAACAAGGGATCTGTTATGGCTTACACCTGGATGTTCCCCCCAAAACCTCATGTGATCAAAAGCAGAGCTTTTGAAAGGTAACTGGATTACAGGGCAACAGTAAGGGGTAACTGAACGTGATGTTAAGAGGCAGGGCCTAGTTGACAAGGTCGTTCAGTGGCACGTGACCTGGAAGGGTGCATCTCCCTCCTGGTTCCTCCCTTTATTCTGCTCCCTGTCCATGGAGACACGAGCAGCTTCCCTCTGCCCAGGCTCTTTGCCATGCTACTGCCCACACAAAGACTGAAACTTCTAAAACATGCACCCAAACAAACCTCTCCTCAAGCTGTGGGTGTTGAATACTGTGAGTCCCAGCGATAGGGAGGGAAAGTGACTAAGACAGGGTCCTACACACAGTGAGAACAGAGGTGGAGAAACGAAGAGTTTTGGACATGCCACATTAGTAAGATTTGTCCAAAGTTAAACATATTCTAATATTTAAGAATTTACTTACTTTTCTGTGATCAGTCTGTTTCCTTCCTTTGGCCATTTTTTCTACTAGGTTACTGATCTTTTTCTTACTGATTTGACATTAAGCCTTTGTCTGTGATCACCTTTCATACATTTGTTTCTTCCCTTCTATTCTGAATTTTTTTCTTTGTGTTTATAATGATTATTGTCATACTGATTTTTTAAAAAGTGGTCAAGTTAATATTCGCTTTTATGGAAGGTGTTAGTGTGTACACAAACCATCTTCTAGGATTATAAACAAAATCTTGCCAGTTTCTTCTATTACTTTTATGCTTTATTCTATGCATTTAAACCTTTGATCTGTAAGTTTGAAGTTTAAATAAAAAACTTCTTCCCAGGTGGCTACTTGGTTTTCTTAATGCTGGATAATACCAGGCACTGAGCACCTCACTCTTTCCTCATTTCTCAAGGGCTGGTGCTAAACACCTATACACGACTGGGTCAACTTTGGGCCTTTGTGCTTTGTTCCACTGATGTCCTCTGCACCCTCCCACTGGAACCACTCTATTTTATCTATGAGGTGAGTCCTGCCTCACAAATTTCCTGGATATTCTTATTTTTTCCATCTGACTTTAGAATCATTAGTATGGTCCTGACTCCCCTCCAACCCCAAATCCTGCTGGTATTTATTATTAGGATGTCATTGTTTACAATACTGAATTTTCCTAGCTGAAGGCATGGTAGGCATCCCAGTTAGTAAGGCGGTTTCCGTTCCTTCATACACACATACTTGTAATTAAAGTTACAGATCGGGTATCTGATGGTTATTGATTTCTTAAATATTATACCCTGGCACCTGTACCAAATTCCCTTACATGTCACAATTTTTCAATTGATTCTTTTTTCTCCAATTGATTCTTATGCTCCTGTGTATAGGTTAAATCTATTAGGTAAACATTCTTTCACCAAATTCTTTCCAACTTTTATGTCTTCTTTTTCCTCCTGTCAAATTACCTTGGGTGACACTGGCAAAACAATGTCAAATAACAATGAGCAGTCTTACTTTTTTAACTTTGATACTGAGGATTGAACCCAGGGTCTTTGCACTGAGCTACATCCCCAGCCCCTTAAAAATTTTTAAATTTTGAGATAGAGTCTTGCTATATTCCCTAAGATAGGCTTGAACTTTTGATTCTCCTGCCTCAGCCTCACAGGGTGCTGGGATTACAAGTGTTAGCCACCATGCTGTTCACTTAAAAAAAAACAAAAACAAAACTCTTGATGGGAATGTGGCTATTCTCTGTTAAACACGATGGTGACTTTTAGATTCAAGATGGACATTAAGAATAAATTTCAAAATTGATCTCAACTCAGAGACTTTTAAAAAAAATCAAGAACCAACAATGAACTGATTAATTTACAATGTAAGCTGTCTTAAATGATGTTTTTGGAGCCCATTAAGAAAAGAAAACTTACACTAGACTGTCTTCATTAAAGTCTGGCTGAAAATTCTCCAGTGGAAACAAAGACCTAAAGTCAATTCCCATATTGAAGAACACAGCTGCTACGTCAGACAATGATGGGATCCAGGGCCAAACTGGTGAGTCGCTGAAAGTATCTGGTTAACAGAAAAAACTGTCACTCCACATCATCTGTCCACACAGCCACGCTGGCAAAATAGTAATCCCCATGCGAAGCACAGAGTGTTACCATTACTTACAGAAATGACATGCTAACGATATGTTAACGACACAGTGGCACCTCAGCCCACAGACTTCATTCTTCCCATGACTCTGGCTGCAAATGGAACTGGATGAGGGCCGAATCACATTTCCCTATAAGGTCAACACTGAACCTAACCAGTGAATCTAAGGTGCCACTGTACAGTTAAACTGCAGAATGATCATAGGCTGTAGGTCTTCAAGGAGCTGAATGAAATGACATTGTGAAGTGTATCTGCGAGTGATGGCGTGTAACTAACAGAAAGTAGTAGTATCCTTGGAAGTAACTGGAAATAGCAAGGGTTAAATCTCAACCATTTTTAACACAGATAATTTGAGGCACCTTTAGTCTTAATTTCCCAAACAAATCATCAGGTTACCAGAATGCTTCTACTAAAAAATATTATTATTTTTTACAGAGGACTGAACACAACACCTTCACACTGAACTACATCCTGTCCTTTCTGAAATTTTTTTTGAGACACTGTCTTACCAAGTCACTAAATTGCCCACTCTGGGCTTGAAGCTGCAGTCCTCTTGCCTCAGCCTCTCATAAGGCTGGGATTACAGGTGCCACCGTGCCCAGTTGCTTCTTCTATTGTAAAGGTTCTCCAAGTTGAGAAACTGTTAAACTTGCAACATCAATACAATATTGCTGGCTATGTGGCTGTCCTCACCACAGCCCACCCTGTGTCCTCCAGGGTGTGTGCTCCTCGCTTCTTCCTTTTACTCAGCCCAGGCTCGCTCTGCAGAGTCAGTTTCTCCCTCACTCTTCACTTCTACTTTTCCAAATAAACTTTACTTCCATTAAAAAAAAATTATATATGTAGTTGCTCCCTAACAAACCAAATAAAATTAGCTAAATAAACACATTAGTAAATTTGCAACTATTTTCACTTACACTGATAAATATTAGGCACCGCTTGCCACTTGTTAGGCCTAATAACCCTTTTTTCACAACTAGAAAAATACAGATACTTATTTTTTACTAGAATTTCATTTCATTATTAAAGATGTCTAACTACAAGAATAATTTTAGAGTCTACATTTCCAAATATACTAATGTTTAGCAGTATAAAAGGTATCACGAGATAATAAATAACAATATAGGCTATAAATTACAGTAAATTCTTTTTTTTTTTGGTACCAGGAATCAAACTCAGGGCCTTGCGCTTGCCAGGCGGCACTGTGCCACTGAGCAACATCCCTGGCCCCACACAATAAATTTATATACTTACCATTTCTAATTGTTATTTCCATCAGTGTACTTAAAATCTGCACCGACACAATACAGTCTGTATGAACTGACATCATCTGTCCAAAATACATAAGTGACAGTATTAGAAAGGGAAACATGAGCATTTAATATCTGCGAGGTGCATATGAATGTGTTTTATGTGCATTCCATTTAATACTTACAATCACCTTATGAGTGTTCCTCATGACATATGTAAGTAAACAGACTCAGAGAAATTGAATACCCTGTCCAGTATTACAGGTGGCACATGGAAGAGGTAGAATTTAAACACAAGTCGGGTTCCAAACTCAGGACTTTTCTACTCTAACTTGTTGCATGTTTTTAAAAATTTTACTTTATGTCTGACAAAACATGCGTTTCTAGGATGTATTGTGACAAAATACCAAAACACCAAAAAAATGGTTGTTAGGTCAATCATGTCATAGGCAACAAGGCACACACTAGTAAAATTTTTGAAAACATAGAGAAACACAAATTAATATATCAATGCACCTTTAAAAATTACTTTTTTTGAGATGGGATCTTATGTTGCCCAGTCTCAAATTCCTGGACTCAAGTGATCACCCTGAGACTACAGGGTAGTGCCATCATGCTCAGCTTACCAATGCATTGAAAAAAAAAGCACTTGTTTGTTTTTGAGGCAGGATCTTGCTACGTAGTCCAGGCTGCCTCACTCAAACTCACGGCGATCCTCCTGCCTCAGCCTCCCGAGTGCTGAGATTACAGGCATGCTCCATCATGCCTGGCAAAAAAAGTACTTTTTAAAAGATGTTCAGTATCACTATCAAAGAGATGCAATGAAAACAACCAACAGGGGCTGGGGATTTAGCTCAGCGGCAAAGCGCCTGCCTGGCAAGCGCAAGGTCGTGAGTTCGGTTCCCGGTACCAGAGAAAAACCAAAAAAAAAAAAAAGAAAACAACCAACAAATTAGCATCAGTTGACTTCAAAACTGGCAAATATCAAAATATTGATAATATTGTGTTCACAAGAGTAATAGAAAAGAGGCAAGCCATCTTTTTAACTAGTGCAATTTATTTTTTATTTATTTATTTTTTATAGTCTTTTTGAGACAGGGTCTTGCTATGCAGTTCAGGCTGGCCTTGAGCTCACACTGTAGCCCAGGCTGGCCTCGAACTCTCAATGATCCTCCTGCCTCAGCCTCCCGAGTGCTGGGATTACAGGCGTGCGCCACCACGCCCAGCTTAACTAGTGTAATAAAAATTCTAAAGGAATTTTAGTAGTTTTAATGCAAAGTCACTGTACTTAAAATTTTCACCTTTCAGCTTTTTTATGATATGAATTTAGAAGCAGAGACAAATTTTGGGGAACAAAATCTCAAGTTTAAAAAAAATGTTAAGACTTGGGTATGGCTCAGTGGCGAAGTGTTAAGCACATATAAGGGCCTAGGGTTCAGTCCTGGAACCAAAGAAGAGGTTAAAAAAAAAAGCGAATCCTCACGTAGCACACCAAAAGTAACATTCACCTAGGTTTGTAGAGAACACACACTGTATTTCAATTGCTACTTTTTCTTTTGCTGAGGAGCTACAGATTATGTCTATAACAAATTTAAAGCTAAAATGTAACCCAGGCATCACAGTGCATACTTATAATCCCAGGCTGAGGCAGGACAGTGAGTTCATCACCAGCCTGACTATATAGTGAGACTGTATCAAAAAAACAAAAGCAGATCAACAATCAAGCAAAACCAACCACAAGCAAACCAACAACCTTAAACAACAAGCAAACCAACAACCCTAAAATCTATGAAGGAATAATCCAAACTGTTCTCGATCAGGCATATGGCCCATGTAATTTATTTTTTTTTATTGTTTTTTTTTTTTGGTTTTTCTCCGTACCGGGAACCGAACTCACGACCTTGCGCTTGCCAGGCAGGGGCTTTTGCCGCTGAGCTAAATCCCCAGCCCTGGCCCATGTAATTTAAAACGGCTGCCATATTTGTGTTAAGGTCTGCTGGTAGGAGGTAGGAGGCAGCACTAACTCACACGCAGCACACAGGACAAGTTTGGACAACAAGCTTCCCTGAAGTGTGATGAATTCTGGAGTGAAGAGTACATTAATTTCAAATGAATAAATGTAAAAATAAGTATATATAGTGGTGGTGTGGCTCGGTGGTAGTACTTGCCTAGCAGGCATGAGGCCCTGGGTTCAACCGCTAGCACCACCAAAAAAGGTATATATGAAAACTAATGTTTACTGTGATTGGTTTAATTTTGTTTCTTGAGTTGGGGTCTATATGTTGCTCAGTTTGGTCTCAAGCCTGTACACTCAAATAATCTTTCTCAGTCTCCTATATAGCTGGGAGTACAGGCATGCACTACCACGCACTGCTGAGATTGGTTAAATAAATCACGATATAGCCTGACAAAGGAACACTATAAAGCCACTGACAAAGATAAAAGGATAATATATATGTTGAGATTAAAATATTTAATAGTTTATTATCTGAAATAAAAAAGGTGCGTAACATTCACACAATGTGTTTCAGTTATATAGTAATTTTGTATGTAGAGAACGATCTAGAAAACACTGGTGAAAATGTCAATAGCTCTAGGTTTAGGATGAACTCAGCTTGCTTTAGAATTTTATCATCTTTGTACTGGGGTCTGAAGCCAGTGCTATAGTACAGGCTAGGAAAGCACTCTCTCACTGAGCTACATTCCTAGCCTCTGTTTTAAAATGTTTAAAATTAGGGTGAAGATGCGCATAGTGGTGCATACCTATAATCCTAGCACTAACTATATAGCCCAGGTTAGACTTAAATTCATGGTGATCCTCCTGCCTCAATCTCCTGAGCACTTGGATTACATTTGTGTGCCATCATGCCCAGCCATACAATTTTTTCATTAGATTTTATTGGTACATTTTAGATATACATAATGATCACATTCATCACAGAGAATCTGTATTTTTACGTGATATAATTTTTTTCCCCACTCCACTCGCCTTTCAACCCCTTCTCCCCTCCCCATTTACAAAGCTTTGTTTTCATATTTTCCTTCTTTTCTCATTTTTTTATACTTTTCCCTTCTTTCCTTTCTCCCCCCCCTCTTATTCCCTTCCCCATCTGAATGTTTTCCTCCTATTTCAAATACATTTTGGTCCTTATTTATACTTTCAGTTTCTCATACCACAGTAACAATGCTGTATTTACATGTGTGTCGGATTTATTTCACTTAAGAGTATGTCTTGTCAAGCTTGGTGGCACACACCTGTAATCCCAGAATTCGGGAAGCTGAGGCAGGAGGGTCACTGCAAGTTCAAGACCAGCCTGGGCTACATAGTAAGACCTTGCCTCAAAAAGCCAAAACTAAACAAAACAAAAAACTTCATAAATGGTTATTAGCTTGGTTTTCAAAAAATGAATATGCAGAGTATTTTAACCTGCTCAGATGGAAAGTAAACTATATATGCACATATATAACTATATATATAATTATGTAACTATATATCTATACGTAATTATATAACTATATCTATCTATCTATCTATCTATCTATCTATCTATCTACATATGTTTATATGTATTTTGTTTTGGGACAGACTCTCACCATGTAATTCAGGTTGGCCCTGAACTCACCATGTAACCTAGGCTGGCCTTGAACTTGTGATCCTCCTGCCTCAGCATCCTAAGTGTTGGGCCTACAGGCATGTGCCACCACTAAAATTTACAAGTTACCACTTAGGCCTTGGTGTGGTGGCACATATGTGTATCCCAGCACTCTGGAAGGCTGAGGCAGGATTGCAGTGCTCAGCCTGGTAAATGAGACCCTGTCTCAAAATAAAAAATTTTAAAAAGGGCTGGGGATGTTGCTCAATGTAAAGGAACTGGGTTTAATTCCCAGTTACTTACACACACACACACACACACACACACACACACACACACACACACAGTTACCACTTATATAAAACAAAACTAAGGTAACTTTTAAAGTGGTAAACATGGACTGACATGAAGATATGTAATTAACAGGTAAAGATTACATTAAAATCGTGACAATCTATACAGGTACTCCAATAAATATAAAAAGAAAAGCTTAAAAAGAAATTACGTACTTGAATATTAGACTGCTTCTAATGCTACCTGTAATAGTGACTTGCTAGCGTGATAAAAATGTGTGGATGTGTAAGCATTACTGACTACCCTGCACACAATCTTCACCACTGCTTTATCATCTCTTCAGGCTGACTTCTCTTGCCTTACTCTAAACCCACTGAGGTCGAATTTGACATACAAATTTTTTTCTGTAATAATGCATAAAAGACATTATGTTCTTACCCGAAACAACCACTTTAACACAGGCACAGGACACTGAACGTAATGGTAAGCTGAGGTAAGGAAGCCTTGTGTGGTCAGAAAAATCTGATCTGTTTTTCCTGATCTGAAAAAAAAAGTCAAATCAAAAGGTTACTTTCATGGCAAAACCCACCACACCTAACATCATCAGGGGATAAGCAAAAAACGTATCTTCAATCTATGGATGTGGACTGTATACTAATATGGACATGTGTCTCCTAAAACAAAATGCAATTGACGGCTTAATGCTTACTCCATCTGTTGGATTACTTCCACTTTTTTTTTTTTTGGAGACAGGGTCTCACTGGATAGTTCAGACTGTCCCTGAACTCACTATGTAGCCCAGGCTGGTCTCAAACTTGAGGCAGTCTTCCTGCCTCAGCCTCCTGAGTGCTGGGATTACAGACATGTGCCACCATGCCTGGCTGCTCCACACTTCTCTGATGGACAAAACGATGCTTGCTGGCAGTGTAGGAGTATCAGCACATCATCTATTGCTGCCGGCGTCGGGGTGTACTTCATAGAGCTCAGTATGGAATTAATGCAGTCTCTCTAGACCTGAGATATCACGCCCTGACAGAAATCGTATCAGCTTGGGAACTGTGATAGAAATCACTAGTTGACTATTTTAATACCAATTTTTGCCTTTCTTGTTTATAACTGGACCCTAATTTGTAGCTGGCCACACTGGCTGCCTGAAATAAAAATTAGCTCTCAGCAGCCCTTGTTGCTAAGTGTGCCTATGCTGACTAAATTCTAACGTGGTCATTTCTGGTTATCCAAACACAAAAGCTGCAGCTCCAATAGCACTGAAGCAGGGAGGTGCTAAGAATGATGGAGAAGGAAGACTACTTGGTAAAAATATCACAGCAACCCCAGACTTCCTAGTACTGCATTTCTTTCACACCAGAAGAAAATCTATTTCTCGTTTAAGCCCCTACCATTCTAAGTTACTGGGGTCACACACTGTTCTTAATTCTAGTAAAAGCAAGGGATGAGCTAAACAACTCTCCTCATACCCATGTTTAAGAAAACACAAAGAGCGCCAGGTGTTGTGCACACCTGTAATCCCAGTACTTGAGAGGCTGAGGCAGGAGGACCACCGCAAGTTCAAGGCCAGCCTGAACTGCATAGAGAGACCCTGTCTCAAAAAAAAACAAACAAACAAAAAAAACAAACAAACAAAACCAAAAGAACATAAAGAGCAAGAGCAATAAAAGGATCAGAAAATTAGATAGGCACTAATTGAAAGTAACTGTTTAGAAGACAATGCTGGATAGAATTGTTTCTCCTTTTTGTCTTTTTTTTTTTTTTTTTTAGTGGTACTGCGTATTGAACCCATACTGACTCTGAATGAGCTGTACCACTGAACTACATCCTCAGTCATTTTTTTTTTTTGACACTGTCTACATTGCCCAGGCTGGTTATGAACTTGTGATCCTCCTGTCTCAGCCTAACAAGCAGCTGGGAGTAGAGATATGCACTACTATCCCTGGCAGTCAAAAGCTTTTAAATTATTTTGGCTGTGTTTTTTGAGACAAGGTCTCACTACACAGTTGAGACGGGTCTTGCACTCACTTTGTAGCCCAGGTTGGCCTCAAACTCACAGCAACCCCACTGCCTCAGCCTCCCAAGTGCTGGGATTACAGACATGGGACATCAGGCCCTACCACCTCTAAATTTTTTTTTATACAGAATAAAGCAAGGTGTTTACTTTCTACTTACTTGAGAATAAGCTTTTCTACAGCACTTTTTCCAATAAAACCAGAGTCTCTTAAATCCAATGTATACTGATTGAAAATTTTTCCAGAATTGAGGAAATTAAATATTTCTTCACCTGGATGATGATCAGGAATAGCATCAATTGTAACTGAAAATTTCTTTAGAAATTCTCTGAAATAAAAAAGTTATTGAATACTAAATAGTTATAGTACATGTGGTTTGTACTTAGAGGTTGAGTATAAAAAACCCCTTTTTTACAATCAATGCTACCATCCCACATTAGACTCACTTTCTGGGAACAGTTAAAAGCCACTAAATGGATCTGCATGAAAAGGAGCAAATAACTGGAGAAAAGATGACGTGGAAAGTGGCTTGAACATTTGCCCTCCAGCGTCACCACAGACAGATCTGAAGCTCCGCATATGTTATTCACCATATTAACAGCCTGTTTACTTTAGAAAAGCTAACAATGTAAAAGCAGTAAGTTATGTGTATACGTTAAGAAAAATACTTTACCTGTGCTCTTCCAAGAGGTCATCCTCGTCATCTGTACTGTCTCGATCTCCAATTCTAACTGGAGATTTAATGCCACGCCCCTGCCTTATGTCTTCTTGTAGTTGCTTCTGTAGTTCATCTAGCCTGAGGATCAGAAGAATGCTAGAGTAAATAGTTCACTCTAAAATTAAAAATAAAAAAACCCAGAAACTTTAGCTGGTATCTAAAAGCAGCACGAGCAGACTAACGAACCCTTCATAGGGACCCTACCATATGACAAATCATGCTATACTACGGGTCACATCACATCTCCCAAACACATTATGATCAAAATAGCACAGCATCACATAAAAGACTTGAATATAATACTTCACAGTTAGGACTCGAGAATGACCTGTCGAAATTGTTCAGGGGATGGGAAAGAAAAATGGCGAAGAATACCACCAATTTTATTATCCTCTTTAACACTCACTTGAGACCCGTAGAGTAAAAAGTCTGAGGTTAACGACGTTTTCTAATAGCAGCTTTTGTTATCACTGTGATCATCATCATCCTGTTACCTAGCACTGAGCAGTCACTATAGGACAATACTGAACTAAGGGCTTTATGTGTTAACTCTCTGAATCCTCAGCAACTCCTGAGTAGTAGTTTATTATTATTTATATTATAGATGAGGAAACAAATAGAAAGCTAAATACCTCGCAGGAGCTCACAATGCAAAGAACTGGAATTGAAAACCAGTCTTGTTATTAGCCCCACTTTTTGGCAGCACTAGGGGTCAAACTTGGGATACTCTACCACTGAGCCACATCTCCACCCCTTTTAATTTCTTACTTTTGAGATGAGTATTGCTAGGTTACCCTGGCTAGCCTTAAACCTACCATTACCCTGCCTTAGCTTCCTGAATAGCGCAGATTACAGGTATGTACCACCACACCTGGCATACACTGCCTCTTCTTTTTATTTTTTTGGTAGTATTGGGGATTGAACCCAGGGCCTTTGTACTGAGCTACACCTCTACCCCCTTTTATTTTATAATAGGATCTCACTAAGTTCCAAGACAGGGCTTGAACTCTAGATCCTCCTGACACTGCATTTTAAAAACAAATTTATTCTCTGCTCCAACCCCCAACTGTGCACGGCTTATAGAACAGTAAAAGCCCAGTAAATATACTGCTTTATCCCTACAAAAAAGTCAATCATTAGATCAAACTAGCATCTATTCCTTTGGTCTGAGCAATGCTCCATTTTATTTATTTTTTTGGTCTTTTTGAGACAGGGTCTTGCTATGCAGTTCAGGCTGGCCAATGCTTCACTTTAAATAAGCAACTTCAGATTTCACATCCCTGACCTCTTGAATTCACCAAACCTTTAAAGAATTTTGTAACAGAGACAATTTCTCTAACTACAAATTCAAAGAGGAAAATACTTTTGACCTACAGTTGTCTATAAAACTCCTGTACTTAGCTGTTCGGTCATCAAGCTTGAGATACATACATATGTATCAACTTCTTAGAACCAAGCCAGGCAAACTTCTGGTGAAGTCCTCTGGGATGGTGTCATGGATATGCCTTGAATTAATGAGGAACATATTTCTCCACTCTCATTAGTCTTAACAGTCCGTAACACTGGTGGAAACCTATGGCACACGTGCCACAGTGGGCTGTTTGCAGCATCGAGAGCTGTAAAAGGCTTGCCATCGGTGGTCTACAATTATCAGTCATTACAATTTTACTAGGGAATTATGACCTTGAACTTTCTGATTTCTTTGGATATGTATATTTTTGTTGTATGAGATGGGTGTTCATAATTCTGAAATTTTTACTCAAAAGAGTAACTTGAGAGAGAAGTATCATGCCTAGTTATGCTGGTTTCAAAACGCATTTAACGAACAAACTAATGTTTAAAAACATTTTACCTGTGTGAACAACAGAAAAGCTAAATAACCTGACTAAAAATAGGCCAAGAATCTGCAGACATTCCATCAAAGCAGCTATGTAAATGGACATCCAAATGTTTAGTCAGTAGGGAAAAGCAAATTAAAACTATCATGAGATACCACTTCACATCCACTAAGACAGTTATTATTAAAAAGAAGAGAAAATAATAAGTGTTGTAGAGCACACAGAAAAAAGCGACCCTTTACCATTGTTGGTGGACAACAGTACGGCAGTTCTGCAAACCTGAAGCACTTACCCTACAATTCAGCAAGTCCACTTATAGGAACACTCCCAAAAGTATGAAAAGCTGTGACTTTAAGATAGGTACACTCATGTTCACAGCACCATTATTCACAAAGCCAAGAGTACATAAACCTAAGTGGCCACGGATGAATAAACAAAATATGGTATATACATAACAGAATGGAGGGGCTGGGGATTTAGCTCAGCGGCAAAAGCGCCTACCTGGCAAGTGCAAGGTTGTGAGTTCGGTTCCTGGTACCGGAGAAAAACCAAAAAAAACCAAAAAACAAACAAACAAAAAAAACAAACAAACCAGAATGGAATGGTTTACTTTGAAAAGAGGAAATTCTGACACACTCTTGCTATTAATGAACAATAACGACGTTATGTTAAGTGAAATAAGCCAGTCAGACAGGGAGAAACACTAATGATCCCATGTATATGAAGTATTTAGAATAGTCAATTTCAGGGCCAGGGATGTAGCTTAGTGGTGTAAGTGCTTGCCTGGCAAGCCTGAGGACATGAGTTCCATTCCCAGTACCAAAAAAAAAAAAAAAAAAGAATAGTCAATTTCATAGAGATAGAAGGTAGAATGGTAGCTGCCACAGGCAGCGGAGAAAACAAAAGAATTATTTTTTAACTGATATGGAGTTTCAGTTTGGGAAAACAAAAAAGTTTTCGAGTTGGACGATGAAGTTGCACAATAATGTCAATGTACTTAATGAGCTGTATGCATAATGAATTCTACCCAAGCTATGAGTTGTGATAAACAGAAAGAAACATTAGTTAATGTGATACACTGTATACTACACAAACCTGTTTTTTTTTTTCTCTTTTTTTTTGGTGGTGCTTGGAGATCAAACCTAGGGCACTGCACACACTAGGCAAACACTCTACCATTGAGCTAAATCCCCAGGCCCCCAAACCTGGACCTTTTCATTCAACCTATGAAGAAGAGAACCTGTATTTCTATGACAGTTGACAACAGATGAATGGACCAGTATTAGAATGGTATGAACATAAAATGTATGCTAACTTCTACTTTTGAAGGTAAGTTAAAAGCCAACCACATAAACAAGTGGTCTATTAAATACAACCAAATTAGTCTTGATGCTAACCAACCTTTGTGTGTCTTCCATCTCCTTCACTAGACGCTCCAAAGTATTTGTGTAAGTGCCACTGTGAACACGTTCCTAAAAGAAGAAAATTCAGGATTATTTTACAACATATCTTAGCAGAAGAACTGGGATGTTTTCAGTCACTCAGAGTACTAAGAAATACTTTCTATTTCAATAATCTGGGATAGGATGATACTTTTCTTAAAGAATTTACACCATCATGCTTTAACTCTAGTATTTTGTACTGCAGGCAATTTGATTTTATTATTAGAAAAGGTTCTCCTTACAGAACTCTACCAGTGTTAGGATCTGACTGCAAACACCCAAGGGCTCTGTGGCTACCCATTCTTTACTTTTGAGTTCTAATTTAGTGGACCCAAACTACTAATTTTTAGTTGTTACCATGAAATACTAACATCTTCCCCACTAAATTTTAGAGATATCTTAAAATCTAACTCAGCTTACTCCCAAGAAAGAATGAAACACTCTACAAATAAAATTGCACACCACAATTAACAACATTTCTACACTCTACCTTCATTTACAGCAGTGGTCTCCAAAGCAGGGGGTGTGCAAGGTGATCCAATGGGGTGCAGGAAGAAAATAATAGAACTTCTATTTATATCGAACTTCTATAGAAACTCCAGTAGAACTTAGTCTATAGTAACTTCTATAGGAAAATATTCATTTTCTTCTTTTCCCTTTTAAATCCTGGTTTTTGCATATACTTTAGAAAGTACATAGTATTATAGTAGTACATGTATACACATCTACAAATATATATATAATTGGGGTACATGCTCAAAATTTTGTTTTTACTTAGAATGTATGTGTGATCAAGAAAGTTTGGAGACCACTGATTTACGGTAATAAAACTGAAGATATTGGAAATTAATTTATCCACCAATAATTACACTACTTTTCATTCCAATTATGGGTTGTAAAAAATACTGAATTGTAAAATAAGTTTTAGCAATCTATCTTTTTTTGCTAATCCATTTTTTTCCTCTTCAAATAAAGATAAATGTTATAAAACTACTTACATTGCAGTCTGGTGACTGAGACCGAAGCCCCTTTGAAAGAGCAGGAGGCCTTGCTGAAGTTGTAGGAGTCTGACTGAAGTTCAAGGCCATTATTTCTGCCAGTGATTCTAATGGTTCTTCATCCTCATCACTGTCTAGGTTGTAAGCTAAACTTTCTTCATCACTATCAAAATCACCCCTTAATTTTCTTTTCAGTGCACTGCTACCTGCATTGGAATTTCCTGAACTCTCCTTATCAGAAGGGGCTTTATTCGAAGGTGCTGTAGGGCTTGGCTTACATGGCACAACTTCCAAAGCAGCCAGAGGAGACTTGGTAGGTGTGCCATATTCTGCACACAAAGATCCCTCAGAAATTTTCCCTGAACACATATTAGAATCAGTCTTATTAGTCTTTGCTTTGTGTTCTTTGTGTTTGGAGGACACTGCAGAATGCCCAGGACATTCTTTAGATGAGGAACGCTCTTTATCTTTCTTAGGAACCAGAAGAGTGCAATTTTTAGCATTTAATGGTACCTGAGAGGAACCAGCACTTGGAACATGGGAAAGTAAAGGTACAGGTTTTGTGTCTTTTGATGTCTCGGAGCTAGCAGTTTTATTTTTCTGAAGAGTGCTAGCTTTTTTAATTGTAGATTTTTCCTGAGGTAAACATAGGTGGGGTTTTTGTATCTTAGTCTCTTTGGTACTTGCCGCACGGATTTGGTCACTATTCCTGGAAGAATGGTGGCCAGCATTTGAAGGAGCCAAGCCTGGAGCAGAGCAATCAGCTTCATCACTTGCTTCCTTAGATATATCCTCCAAACGGAGCACGTCACCAGGTGTCTTCAGTGCAATGTGTCTTATAAACTTCTCTTTCTGATGCGATCCATCAGGATGCTTCTCAAGGAAGGACTCTTTCACTTTTGGTATAACAAATTCTCTTGTGCTTTTCAGATCTGAGTCCACAGAGTTCCTTTTTCGTTTGTCAGGGAATTTGTTCTGCTTAGAGCCTGGCAAAATTTAATTTTTGTCAGATTAGTGAAAAGTACATGGCCTTATCTGAGTAAAGCTTGTTCACTGTCTGACAAAATGATCAAATTCTGAAAGTTTTAGACTGAGGTTATTCATAACATATGGAATGAGGAAAGAGAACTAATATTGCCATTTACTTCTCAAATTTTAAATAGCAGTGTCCAAGAAATTTAAAGCTAATGACAAGTGCTCATTATCCATTCTAAATCTATCAAAAGTACACTACACCTTAATAGAATTAAGAGTATCACTCCTAAAAACATAAACAACCACATATTTCTACCCACAAAATGATTCCAAATGTACTTCCCTTCAAAAATGGATATTAAGCTCAGGACTACCTGGTTCTTTACATCTAAAAATACAGTACCACCTGGTGTGGTGGCGCACACCTGTAATCCCAGCACTTGGGAGGCTGAGGCAGGAGGATCATTGCAAGTTCAAGACCAGCCTGGGCTACAAAGTGCGCTCAAGGCTAGCCTGAACTGCATAAGGAGACCCTGTTTCAAAAAAGACAAAAAAAAATACAGTACCTTCAGGCAGGCACTTATGCCGCTTAACTATATCCCAGGCCCCTGGTTTCTTTTTTTTTTTTTTTTTTTGGTACCGTGAATTGAACTTAGGACCCTGTGTTTGCCAGGCAGGTGCTTTACAGTACCTTCAAACACATATAGGATCAATAGTTCAAAGTAATTTTAAATTTCTCATTAAAGATGGACTCAATATGTAATTATTTTTTATGCTTTCCCATGTATTTCTATTATCTTTAGCTATGCTACGGGTTATGTCGTGTGCCCCAAAAATGATATGCTCAAATTCTGACCCCCATATCACAGAATATAACCTTAACTGGGAACAAGGTCTTTATAGGCATGACTAAATTAAACTGAGGTCTTAAGAGTCTGTCCCAGTGCAAAATGACTGGTGTCCTTATACAAAGGGGAAATCTGGACACGGACACGCAGGGGGAGATAACAGTGAAGACACCTAAGGAAAGGATGTGACTGAAGTGATACGGTTACAAGTAAAGGGATTCCAAGTATTGCAAGCCAACACCAGAAGCCAGAAGTTAAAGGATTCTCCCTTGAGCTGTCAGAGGCAGCATGACCCTATGGATCCTCTAGCTTCCAGAATGGGGAGGCAGTGATTTCTGTTGCAATGTTGGAATTCTGTTGCAGCAACCCTAGGAGTCTACGTAGTGACAGGCCCAGGCCCTTTACAGACGGTGCAAAGTGCAGGCTCTGTTGGCTATGAGCAGCAAGCAAGCCACTTTCAAGCAACTCTGTGTTTTGAAGCTAACAGGTTGTATGACACCTGCCTCTGTGCAGGCAGCACTGTCCTCCTAGCGCAGGTTGCCATGCCTACCCAAATTCGCCTATTAGCTCACAAGACCAAATCCCTAACAGTAAGCCCAATATCTCATCAATCAAGTGTTAACCCTCGGGGTGGAGACATGACCACTGCCCCAGATTCAGCAGTGTCTCAGCTCTAAGAACCCCCTCTCTTTCCCCAGAATAGTTTTGTATAGCTTCCTGAAATACCTACAATAAAATAGCCTTTGCTTTGCACTGGTCTTCTGTGACTTCTCTTCCTCTTTCTACAGCGAAGAGAGAGACAGACCTGGTAAGGGTGAGTCTGGGGACCCCTAGATCCCAGACCCATTGGATATAACACTACGACACCCTGTCTTTATTAGTAACCATATTCAGATACACTTCAATAAGCAACTGTATTTGAGTTAAGCAGTTTTTAAAAATTCCTATTGTAGTTAAAAGTGTATTTCATGGATTATTTATTTGTTAAGACTTCACTAGAGAGGTGGGTATAGCTCTGGGGTACTCAGTGGCAGAGCATTTGCCTAGCAGTGTGAGGACACTGCTCAATCCCCAGCACTGCAGAAAGATAACACACACAACCTCCCTCAAGAAACTGTACTTATTAAAGGTAAAAATTATTATCTTACAAATGTCCTTGAAATTTGTTATAAAAACAGGCACGTTTATTTGAAATACTAGGGAAAACTGTTTTGGATCATGATTAACATTTTCAACCTTATACAAAGAATCTTCAACATAACAAGATCTCAATCACAAGAATAAAACATTATGTATTGCTGATGTAGCCAAAGATTCAGAAGTAGGGCCAGGGATATAGCTCAGTGGCAGAGCCCCTGCCTGGCAAGAGCAAGGTCATGAGTTTGATTCCCAGTACCAAAAAAAAAAGAAAAACATCTAAAAAGACAAAGATTCAGAAGTAGAACAGTATCAATAAAAGAAACACACTGTAAGGAACTCTTGAAGGCAGAAACATGTTAAAACAAACCACAGATTGGGGATAGTAAACTCATCTTTTTATTCTTAACAAACTTAATCTTAAATAACTCATGTCTAGAAAAGTGCCTATTTTTAAAAAACTTTGTTTTAAAAAGCAACGCCATTAAGATGCAAATGTCCTTCGAAATTCCTGTATTTAATTGTGATCCTACCTGAAGTAGGTCCCCATGAATCGGAAGAGGACCTTTTTCTTGAGAGATGTCCATTTTCCTATTAAGAAAAAGGAAGAATTTCAAGCAGTAAAGATGCAAACTTTTCTTTATTAATATTTAAACACAGATTTGTACACTGAGTAAAAAAGTCACCTATGTTTAAAGTCTAAATTCTAAAATAAAATATCTGAAGATCTTAAGTTTTAAAATGAAGGATGCAGGCATGGTGACCATGCTTATAATCCCAGCTACTCAGGAAGCCGAGGCAAGATCCCAAATCTGAAGCCACCTTGGGTAACTTAGGGAAACCCATAGCTCAGCTCTCTGGCTTTAATCTCCAGTACTGCAAATAAATAAAATAAAATAAAAGGCATGGATTTGGAGTGCAGTCAGCATCAGAGCACTTACCTAACATGCCAAGACCCTCAGTTTAATCCCTAGCAGTGCACATGCATGCACAGACATGTGCTCCATTAAAATGTAAGTATCATTAAAATTAAATTGGTTTTTTACAATGTTAATTTAGGGATTGTATTAATAACGAAAAGATAATACAACTTGAACTCTTCAGTACCTCTGTTTAAGGGCTAATGTAACACCAAACACTGAAATTTTATAAAATGGACCAAATATTACTAACTTCTATTTATCATTACCAAATCTCTCACTGGTAAAGACATCAATCTTCTTATAAATAAGCCTTAGAAACTACATCTTCCAGTAAGATACAATCCTATAATTTACTCACTCCTAGAATGTCATAATTTGGCTTAGCTTTGGTCAAAGTAGTTTTAAAATTTCAGAGCATTTTCTTGATACTTGACCTTCCTTTATTTGCTGATTTTCCAGACAGAGGGACTTTCATGCGAAGTTCAGTCTGTTTTTTTAAGTCTGATGTGGTTAAGATGTGTTGAGACAATCTCCTAAGACCCATAATCAATTACTTACGATCTTTATATAATCTAACCCAGTGATTCTCAAGCTTTCGTGTACATTAGTATCGTTTGGAAGGTTCATTAGGAGCAGACTACTGGGCTCCACTGCTACTAGCTCTGACTCTGTGCATCTGGGGTGGGATCTGAGACTACAATTCTGACAAGCCACTATTCTAAAACATTTTCTGTTCTTTTAAATTTTCCATTCTTCAAGTATCTCAATTCAGCAGATCCTAACTTAAAAATGACTATACTTGCTTAAATGGATGAACGTTTTCTTTCCTGATTAAACAAGATCTTTATCCTGGTCTGAAAATATTAAGGGCAAAAAACACTATTTCACTAAGTTCAATGAAGGGAAGCTGGGAAAAAAACCTAATGAGACCACCTTCAAATTGTATATTTTCTTAAATATATCCATGTGATATGTTATTATTTATTTTTAGGTTTGGTGTTCCAAATGATATGGAAGAGGCAAAGCTAATTTAGTAATGATTGCACATACCAAGTTTGAAAGATTACTTTTTCCAGGTATATCATTCTGTTTACTTTGTTCTTG